CAAAATTTCGACTCTGGTGGCTTGCTGATGATGAGAGAGAATCCATGAGAAGAACAATGGTCCAAGAGGCTCGTCTCCTCAACACAGAACCTTCCAATGACACCAGCACCACTGGACATGCCTCAGTAGGAAATGAGCCGAAAGATGATGATGATGACAGCTTCTTCAGTTTTCAGAGTACACAGGTGACCTGTTCTATAGCGGAGGATGAGGTACAGAGGTATCTTCAAGATTCAGATAAGACATTGACCTCATTAAAGGGATATCCATTGATCAGAGCCCTCTTCTTAAAATACAATACAACTCTGCTGTCAAGTTCTCCTGTCGAGCGTCTCTTTAGCCACGGAGGACTTGTTTTCACCCCACACTGTAACCGCATGACAGACAAACACTTTGAACAGGTGCTGTTGCTGCGTTACAACTGCCATTACTGGACTGTAGACTAGGCGGAACAGATGTAGGTAGTCTGCTGAAACTATCTTGGTATTGTTCACAGATAGGGCTTGCAACCTCAGTATTTTGTAGTCTTTAGTATTTGTTTTTGGCATGCATTCAAAAAGCAGCACCTCATATGTTTACTGCAATTGTTAGCCAATTATTTGATTTTTGGGGCCAATTAAGGTTTTCAACCAAGCAATTCAGCACTGACACGTTGGACAGTTCTTTGTTGCATGCCTTTGTTAAATGGCCATAAGGTAATGCTGCTGAGTTGCATTAAAACATATTGTCTTGTTTTAAAATTATATCTAGGGGTAAGGTTTAAAATGTAATTTCTCATTGTTACATTGAGTTTGAATATCTGAATTGTATTGAAAAATCTTTTGTAATTTAAAATTATTGGTGGAAGAATAATGTTGACAGTAAATGCCAAAATAATATATTTTTAATTTTTGAGTATAATTTTATATATTGCCTTTTTTGTCCTAATAAGAAAACAGTCGTTGAAAATGCTGATATTTTTTCTCCTCGTGCAAGGCTACTTTTTATTTTAACTAAGTGATGTTGGTGACCATAACAGTAAATACTTTTCAATGGCATATTTTACATTTGTCTAATACTCTTCCACTTGTCAGCTTTATAAATAAAAAAAAATGTTAAGGAAAGACGGTGGTTTTTTAAATGATCTTTAAGAAGACAAAACAGCTTATACAAACATACCCAAGTCTTTGCTCCTCTACATTACATATATCATCTTAAACTGGGCTTAACAGCCAATTGGTAAAGAAAAACAAACAAGAATTTGCAGGATGTGATAGCGACATTCGTGTAGTTGTAAAAAGCATGACAATTTATTAAGTAATCCAAAGTATTCAGAATACGTTACTCACATTGAGTAACTTAACGGAATACGTTACAAAATACATTTTGGGGGCATGTATTCTGTAATCTGTACTGGAATACATTTTAAAAGTAACCTTCCCAACACTGTCTGCTGCAAGATGATGTTGTAGGTCTTTGGTGCTGGTCTGTGGGTTGACTCTGACTGTTCTCACCATTCGTCGCTTCTGTCTATCCGAGATTTTTCTTGGTCTGCCACTTCGAGCTTTAACGTGAACTGAGCCTGTGGTCTTCTATTTCCTCAATATGTTCCTAACTGTGGAAACAGACAGCTTAAATCTGTGAGGCAGCTTTCTGTATCCTTCCCCTAAACCATGATGGTGAACAATCTTTGTCTTCAGGTGATTTGAGAGTTGTTTTGAGACCCCCATGTTGCTACTCTTCAGAGAAAAATAAAAGAGGAGGGAAACTTACAATTGACCCCCTTAAATACTCTTTCTCATTATTGGATTCACCTGTGTATGTAGGTCAGGGGTCACTTACCAAGCCAATTTGAGTTCCAATAATTAGTTCTAAAGGGTTTGGAATCAATAAAATGACAACAGTGCGCAAATTTATGCACCTGCCTGATTTTGTTTAAACAATTATTGCACACTTTCTGTAAATCCAATAAACTTCATTTCACTTTCAATTTCAAATATCACTGTGTGTGTCTCCTATATGATATATTTAACTGACATTTTTTACATTAACAGCCAACAATTTATACAGGAAAATAATGACTATTAACAAGGTTGCCCAAACTTTTGCATCCCACTGGACACACACACACACACACACACACACACACACACACACACACACACACACACACACACGTGTATTTAATTTTGAGTGTGACTCCAAACACAGACATCCATGGTTTGCTAAATTTGATTTCTATTGATATTTTTTGTGTGATTTTTGTTGTTAGCACATTCAACTATGTAAAGAACAGTAGTAGTATTTAATAAGAAATAAGAATATTTCATTCATTCAGATGTCTTATGTTTGTGTTCCCTTTATTTTTTGAGCAGTGTATATAAAAGGTTAAAAAGTAATTTCACCATTGCTTCATTCTCGTCCCTGCTCCTTCATATAGTATTTTTATTTAGAGTAGTATGAGAAGACTTGTGAATGGGCAATTATATTTCAATGGTATTGCTGACCATGAATCAGATAAGTGGAAAGGAAAATGCACCAGTAGATATACTGGCACATGTAATTCGGCCTCATTATGTCCTGCACCTTTTTATACCATATCTGATATCACTATGTTTTTGTTGTTCATATAATACTACAGTTATCATATTTTTGTATTTTCTAATTCAATATTAATTTTCATTGTTTGGTTTTAATTCAGTTTGGTTTCCAAAGTGCATTTTTGTGTTTCAGTTTAGTTTTTAATGTTTAAAAATGTTTTGTTGTAGCTTAGTGTTTATCAGTTTCACTTTTAGTTTTAGTCTCTTTAATTATTATTGTAAGGAGGGTATATTTCTGAAAATCAATAGAATAAATACAAGAACTTTGAAAGCAGTCGACTTGCAGTCTAGACATCCAAAGTTTCAATAAAGACATACACCAGTGCCTTTTTTAACCAAACTAACAAATACTAAAACCATTTTTTATAAAATAAAAAGTTAGCTTTTCAAGTTTGTAAAATCAAATATAGTATAAAACCAGAGGTCAATACTGATTTACACCGAAGAGGATTAGGGCCACCAAAGAAAAAGGTCAGAATTCTGAGAAAAAGTCAGAATTCTGATTGTAATCTCAGATTTCAGATTTAAAAAAAAAAAAAAAAAAGTCAGAATTCTGATATAAAAAAGTCAGAATTCTGATTAAAAAAAAATGAATTCTGAGAAAAAAGTCAGAATTCTGACTGTAATTGCAGATTTCTGATAAAAATGTCAGAATTTGGAGAAAAAAGTCAGAATTCTGAGATTCCAGTCAGAATTGTGACTTTAATTCTATGTGTAAAATACTGAATTTTAAAATCTTAACCACATGTTTGCAAGTTTTTCTTTTTGTTTTCTTCCCCTGAAAACCCCTGAAGGCAAACTTATCACATGTATGCATCACATGTGCGTCTATGTGAGAGAAAACACAAACTACGGCGGTGGATTTCTTTCTAGAGATGTGTGATGCCACTGCTACGCACAACATCTTGGCATTCACGTGTGTTATTTTCTGCAAAAAAACCAGAAACAAAGTGGCAGTTTTGGTTTCGTACCCATTTCACTAGATTTACTGTTTGAAACATGAGTTAAAGAAAGGCAAAAGATGATTCTTCACATTTCCAAGCGTGAATATATCTAATTGTATACTCCAAGTATTTATGATAAGAGAGTTAGGTTTTCAATAAGAGAAGTAGTCAGAGTGACTCAGTGTGAGTTTATAGAAACAAGTTTAACAATATAACAATTATATATTTATCTCCTGCTTGTTCCAACTGAAATGCACCACATGGACTCCACAACGTAGCAAATATTAACTCATGAAACAGACTTTGTTCTGTGTTACAAATACTACATAATACAGCTCTATTACATAATGATATATTTTTATTATTTGGTTTTTGCTCACGGTATCAAACTTGCATTTATTTAACAAAAGCGAACAGCCTACCCAAGGTGCTCACGAGAGTGACTTGTATAAATTTGTAAAATAAAAGTGTAATAATTGTGTATTAATCTCCAGATCCCTCCAGTTGAAATGTATCATTAGAGACTCTCAAAATCCTTGCCTCCTTAAAAGCTCACAAGAAAGAAAGAAGCAAAATCACTTAGTGGTAAAAACATCTTTTTGAACTCTATAAAAGAAGACTACGTGCAATCACTCTCACAGAGATAGCAAGTTGAGTGGGTTTTATGCCTAACAGCAGCAGAAGGCTGCATCTCAAGTGATGTTTCTAGAGCACTGACTGCATAACCTTATTGCTCTCCAGTATGACACGGAAACACTATAAATCTCCTGCAGGATTGATTACTGCAATGCTCTTATTTTTGGTCTTCCGAAGAAATCTTTGTTACCCCTGTAACTGCTTCAGAACTCGGCTGCACATGTTGATGACCAGAAAGAGCCCGGATTACACCAATTTTAAGCACTGTCTCTCAGTCAGTGTTTTCAACTTGATTGCCTTTATATGTACCTGTATAGCTACCTTTTTAAAACTTTATTTCATTTTATCGCCAGTGTTTCCGTACAATGGGTTGGCGTCTAATATCTAGGTGGGAATGTAGGTGCAGTAAGGGCATAATGAAGGGGATCTATGTATGTTTTTGTTTATTTTCTGGTTTTAATGTGTACAGCACTTTGTGTTGTATCCTTATTGTATGAAAAGTGTGATATAAATAAAGTTTTGATTTTGATTACATTCATGTATTTAGCAGCTACAGACATGAGGTGGGATCTTGAAGGTGATTTTGCTCGCACAAAATGGCACGTGTGTGCAAAAGAGAAATGACATAAAACCAAAAAGATCGCAAAACAAGTGCTACATGTACTTATTAATGAAATGCAAATTCCTAGAGTGTATCTGCAGTCAGGAAACAGTCTGGACCTCTGTAATGATACTGTAAAAATAAACAAAAAAGACTTACTGGATAACTTGGGGGAAATTCATTAGTAACCTTTTAAGATGTTGAAAAACTTAGAACATCAGTGGTGGATTCTGTGCATAGAGGGCATTACAGATACAAGTACATGACAGACAGGATGGATGCTTCAGTGGAAAAACCGTCTGGTCCTGCAGACATGGAGGTTTCCAGTGACAAGCTTTTCTGCTGCAGGGGAGTTCGTAACAAGGTCCCTCTGACCTACAGAGAGGAACTGTATCACATCCTGAGGATGACGGGGCCTCTGGTAAATACTGATACTGTCTGCTTACACTTTTCTTCCTGTGTGTCATGTGATACCTGTATCACCAGTGGAACATTTTTGGTATTTGTCTTTCTAGCTGCTGTCTCGAATCCTCAATTACATGCTTCCGTTTGTGGTTACAATGTTTTGTGGCCGTCTGGGAAACGATGTGATGGCCGGCTATGGATTAGCTTCCGCTGTAAGTGGTTGTCTGTGGAGGCTGATGTAAGGAAATCATAAATAAAGACAAAGTTTCCAGGCACCTAGCAGATGGACAATAGATATTACAGCTATGAATTAGTGTTCTCTATATACCTATATTTCATATTCATTTCAGACCATTAACGTGAGCACAGCAGCGACAGGCACTGGTCTGGCACTGGCGTGTGATACTTTGGTGTCTCAGGTTTGGAAACTCATATTTAATTAGTTTTTTTCCCCCTGACCCCTAATTTCCCTTAATGCACATCCTAACTGTAACTATTTCTCACATTCATAAAATGATTAACTATGTCTGTGTGCTGCTTGAAGACCTTTGGTGGTAAGAACCTGCTGCGTGTGGGAGTGATCCTTCAGCGAGGCATCATTATCCTGCTATTGTTCTGTCTCCCCTGCTGGGGTCTCCTCATTAATGCAGAGGCCATCCTCTTATGTCTGGGCCAGGACCGTGAGGTGGCCCGGTAACTGAGCACACAGAACTTGCACATACAACTCAATCTTATTGTCAGTCAGAACAAGATACCCTCTCAACGCTAACAAGTGTCTACACTAACACTTGTCCTAGTCCCTACAGGAGTCATATGCAGTACAATAACTTTCAATAACATTTTTTGCCATAAATTAGCTTTTGAGTGGTAGCAGAGCTATCTAAGCCTGAACAGTGTATCTAACTATAATAGTCATTTCTTTAGCTTTGATTGGATCTGAATACATCTGCTTTTTTTTTTTTACCCAGAATAGCTCAGCTGTATATTACAGCCTTCCTTCCTGCAGTGCCGGTGAGATGTGATTTTTCTCTCTGCTTTTTGTGCAAATTCAGTAGAGACACATATACACACCATTTTTTTTCTTTTGCTAAATTTAAGCATTTTTGTCATAATTGTTTTTTAGGCAATGTTTCTACATCAACTTCAGGTGTCTTATCTACAGAACCAGGTTTGCTAATGCTGTGTACATAATTGCCTTTTCTTGTAATAGAATCACAGTTTGTTGTCTCAATCAGTGCGATACAGAGAGAAAGGTATGCTAAGCCTTGCATCATCTGGTGTTTGTGTACTCAGGGAATAATATTGCCACAAATGTACACTGCTGCTCTCGCAAATATTGCAAACGTGGTGACAAACTACATCTTTCTTTACTGGCTGGATCTTGGTGTTGGGTAGATATACTCATCTCAACTATCATTTTACACACGCACACACATATATACAGAAAAAAAAATGACATACTGGACTATCTCTGTGTCTTTGCATATGGCTTTCAGTGGCTCTGCAGCAGCCCACACTCTAGCTTGGATTTACATCTGCGCTTTTCTGTTTGTGTACATCTGGTGGAAGAAACTCCATATATCAACATGGGGAGGTGAGATATTTAAAATGCATGCTCTCTCTGTGCTTGCACTAAAAAGTTCTATATAAACTGAGCGTCTCTCTCCCCCTGCAGGCTGGTCTGCAGAATCACTGCAGGAGTGGGGCTCCTACATGAAGCTGGCCATTCCCAGTACCTTAATGACTTGTTTTGAGTGGTGGGTTTATGAGTTTGGAGGATTCTTTGCAGGTAATCCCTATTTATGGTGTGAAATATATATATATTCAATTATCATGGAATATGTGCAATATACAGGATTAAACCAGTAAAGCCTGCTTCTAAGATAATTGGGTTTAGAGCTGGCAATACAGTCTGCAAAGGCTATAATTTATTCTGTGTCTGTAATGATCAGGAATGCTGGGTGAAGATGAGCTGGCAGCTCAACATGCTGTGATAATGGTGGCTTTCATTACTTACATGGTACTGTGTAGTGACTGCAAATCAGAACATTTCATTGTCGCCTCTTTCATAAAAAGTCTCAAATTTGGGTGAATTATTTAACTTTTTCCTTTCCTTTTTCAAAACAATGAATCCATAGTTCCCTCTTGGTATTCAAGCTGCAGCATGTGCCCGTGTGGGCAATGCTCTTGGGGCTGGAGACACTGACAGGGCGATTCTATCAGCCAAGATGTCACTGGCTCTTGCAGGTTAGCTAAATGTGTTCTTCTGTGGTGTCTGATATTTATGAGTATTTCAAGTTAGAGTTTTTTTCCAGTATGACAGATTACTTACCTTTCCAGGTAGTTTTGCTGTTGTTGAAGGCCTCTTCCTGGGTGCTACTAAAACAATCATTGGATTCATCTTCACATCTGATGAGTGAGTCTGTGTACCTGTGTACCTAAACACCTGCTTATACAGTAGAAACTCTATACATGAGACTTTGGCTTAATTATCATTACAGAAAAATTGTAGCTCTGGTGTCACAGTTGATGAACGCTTATTGTTTCCTTCAATTTTTTGATGGCCTTGTGGTGAGTCTACCAGCTCTCGTTGTATTCAAAGCAACTATATTTGCAGCATGATTCCAAAGGCACCAGATTCATGTCAAATATGAAATTTGTTTTCCCCATCCCAGTGTGTGTGCACAGGCATCTTCTTGGGTACTGGCAAACAGAAGATACCAGCTGCGGCTAATCTCATTGGATACTACTGCATAGGGCTTTCATTGAGCATCACTCTGATGTTTGTTGTAAAACTAGGAGTGCTAGGTAATTACATCAAGTGGTCATATTTTGTTAGGTTCATAGACATGCAAGAAGAATAAATTGTTGCCTAGCAAGAGCCAGTTATTACAACTGATGCTCAGCGTGATTTCAACAGACCCATTTGTCTTTCTCTCTGCAGGTTTTTGGCTTGGACTGCTCATTTGCGTCATCTTACAGTCCACCTTTTACATCATTGTCATCTTCAAGCTGAACTGGAAGAGAATGACAGATGAGGTATATTAACTGACTAATATAACAATCAAGGTCATGCAGGGACTCAGCTGTTCATATACAGACAGAGATTTGTTGTTTTAATTTTTTGAGGCATCTGTGAGTGAGACAAAGCTGTACGTGAATATGAAAAATTTTGATTTGGTTTTGCAACTTTTCTATTTTTCAGGCTGTGAAACTAGCTCAGAAAAATACTTACATGGCAGCATTAGGCACGGATGTTGTTTCAGACACTGGCCAAACATCAAGCAATGGGAATGTAAGTGGTCCAATCTAAATTGGTTGATGTGTCTTGTTCTACTTTGTTATCAAGTAGAAGTAGCACTTCTACTACTTCTAGTTTTTTGTTTTATGTTTATTATTAAATTTCATTACATTTATCTTTATTTAACTTAATAAAGTAATGGAAAATACAATTCCTTTAAGTCAGTAGATGGCTACACACCAGTGAGTACCAAGTGCCAAGCGACACAGGGCGAACACGTGGACCACGACCCGAAGAGCAGCCATCTCTCCATCACTCAGCTGATCATCAGGCAAGGCCTCACTATGTTTGCAGCTGTTGGACTTCTTGCTGTGGGAGTAGGTGTGTACTTCCTTGTGCCTTTGCCAGAGACGATACCTGCAAACTCTACAATGGACAGGATTAATAGTACAGATACTCCTGATCAAATCTCCACCAGTGTGATGGTCACATTAGAGAGATAGCGTAAAAACACAGTGTTAAGCTCTTACAGAATGATTGTCTTGGACTGTTTCAGGACCCAACTGTAACAGATGTGATTCAAAAATAAGGTGAATTAATGGTGTTGGGTACATTTCATTTTCTTCAAATTATCATCATTATTAAGTAATAAATGACCTATTTCATCACAAAGTGATGAATGTGTATCTGATTGTTTTATCAGCATTTTGTTTTTAAGAATACATGTCAACAGTTGCTAAGTATAAATCCTGCCTGGAGATGAAAATTAAACTTTGTCTAATGACCAAAGAAACAATGCTGTTGACAGAAATGTAAATAGATGTTCCATTTTAATTATTAAAAAAAAACATTTTAGGTTGAACTCTTTGGTGTGAATTTTTTTTTTTGCTTGTTTATTTGTTTGTTTTTGTCATGGTGAAGCCAAGCTGTTTATGTAGGGGTGGCCAAACTCAGACTGCATGATGTGGGATATAAAATAGAGTCCAGTTATTAATTTCTTTCTCCTTTTTTTCTGCATGGAAAAAATGAAATCATGAATTTATTTCACTCAATTTTTTTTAGAAATATTTTAAAAACATATCTATGTTGCTCAGGTGATAAGAATTTCATGTCTTTGCATTGTTAAATGCAAAGCTGTAAAAAACAGCAGTATAGAAATGTTTCTGTCTCAAAAATAGTTATTGGATCCTGTTTTAAGAGTATGCACTTGTCCCCCTAAAAGCCTTCACCCTCATATATGTTAGGTAGCTCGAGTGTTATAGTAGCTCTGGGTTATGGAGACCTTAGTTGATCTTTCTCTGCTCTGAGAACCTCTATTACCTCTTGGTTCTGCTGTGTGGCCTCCTCCTGGTAGGACATACCTGAAACACCTCACTTCACCCCACGTCCTAAGGGGGACGTCCTGATCATATGTCCAAGACATCTCAACCAGCTCTTTTAAATGTGGAGGTGCAACTACAATCATCCACTTGTTTTTGTGTGTCAAGTCTCTAAGAGATTTATTAATGAAGGTATCAAAAGGACATCCTTCCCCAAGACACTCACAAATGTTTATTTTATGATCACATTTCCCTCTTTACTCCTTTTCTATTGTTAACACCTCTTTGATGGTTGAGTTCTTAATTACCACTTTCAATTTGGCTTGAGAAGGCATTAAGTAAGCTATTTCATGTTTCTAGGATGCTGGATTGTTTAAGAAGTCTGTGAAATACTACAAGAGATTACATTATCAGATTTTCTCCAACAATGGCCTTTTTTTGGTCTACCATTGTGCAAATGTTTGATCTTTGCAGTTCTAAAATCCTGATGTTATTATTTTTGTAAAATTTCCTCAGCTGACCACAACTAGAGGTAGTTACTTGTGTTTTACACACGTTTAATCACCCAGATCAAAACATTCTTGCTTTCAAGTCCTCACCCCCATCTTTGCCTTTGTTGTGGTTGCTGAGTGTTTCTCTCTTCCTTCTCACAATCTGTGTTGTTTCAGCTGGACTTTGTTTTGCTCCAAGGCAGCTGTGGCTGCATCCTTTGCAGCATCCTGGAGTGCAACTAAGATGACTGTGTGAGAGTATAGAGAAAGGTTTTAGTGGAAGAACATACATTAGCATCTGGGGCTGCAGACATGGAGAGGTCCAGCGGCAAACGTTTTTGTTGTAGACGGGTGTGCCACAGGGTTCCTGTGGCACACAGAGAGGAACTGTACCACATCCTGAAGATGACAGGTCCTCTGGTAAGTACTGGGATTGCTCACGTGCCATGATCTTTCTTTAACAGACCACGTAGATGGAGATTATCCTTGCTGATGATACAACAGAAGACTGATGACAGTCTTTCTGTTTTTAAAAAAAGTTTAAGATGTCAGGAAAACACACTTTCACAGATGTGACAATAAAACTGAAACAATATTTGGCACTTTTTACTCGCTGAATAATGACTGCAAACTGCAGGAAATAAACTTGTCAGGAAATCTGTGTACCACGATAATTAGTTGCAGTATGTAATGGTTTATTTTTAAATTACTTGTCATGTAATAGTGGTATCACTCCTGCAACATTTTTGGTATTTGTCTTTCTAGCTGCTCTCTCGAATCCTCAATTACATGCTTCCGTTTGTGGTTACAATGTTCTGTGGCCGTCTGGGAAATGACGTGATGGCTGGCTATGGATTAGCTTCTGCTGTAAGTCATCTGTATGCTCCACTGATGTTTTGAAGCTTACTCGAAAAATGGATTAAATGAAGAAGTAATTACGAGGATGCTGATGGAAGAAAAGGAATTGTTACTTAAGTCAGCAAGATAATTGTCTCGTAATCACTCGTCAGCAACACTTATGATTTAATCTATGCTAAGCACTTGACACTTGCTCTTAAGAATCACTCAAGTTTTGCTTATAATAGTTTGCATTCATTTCAGACAATTAATATTACCACTGCAGCAACAGGATTTGGTCTGGGACTGGCATGTGATACTTTGGTGTCTCAGGTCTGTAAAACCAAGTCAACATGATGCTATCATACACTGGAATTTTTTGCTTTCCCTTTTTTCTTGCTGCCATCTTTAAAATGTTCATTATCCTGACAGACTTTTGGTGCTAAAAATCTACTCCGGGTGGGCGTGATCCTTCAGCGGGGCATAATCATCCTCTTGTTGTTCTGTCTGCCTTGCTGGGGTCTCCTCATTAATGCTCAGGCCATCCTATTATGTGTGGGCCAGAACCCTGAGGTGGCCAGGTAACTAACAGCAGCAAATATACAGTAATATTATTGATACAACTGGCATAGATATGGGTACATTTAAACATGAAACCTGATCTTCTCAGGAATAACATCTGTGCATTAAAACCATTTCTGGTTGCCAAAGATTCACTAAACAGAATCACAATACAAATTAAGTGAATGTCAAAATGATCTCAACTAATCGTATAAAACTGAACCAATGTTCCCTCTAATTTTTCATGCGTCTGAGCGAACACAAACTCCCTGAGCGGTCCCTTGGACCACTGTGAGCAACAGCAGACGTGAGCACTGTGGTCACGCCAGCATCGAATCCATCCAAGCTACATGGTTTACTAAAATAATCAAATTGCAGCATTTATGTTAGACTACTTTTAATTAACTGCTTTAGCCCACATACAATGAAAATTAAAAAAAATCTTGTTCATGACCTGTGTAGTATGTTAAAACTATTGGAAGTAAAAATAACTTGAACTCAAATTTTGAAAACACAACTTTCTTTTTTTATATACACTCAACAAAAATATAAACGCAACACCTTTGTTACTGCTCCCATTCCCCATGGGATGGACGTAGAGACCTAAAATTCATTCCAGATACACAATATAACCATCCCTCCCAAACAGTGGTCACAAATCAGTCCAAATGTGTGGTAGTGGGCACATCTGCCATATTGAGATAATCCATCCCACCTCACAGGTGTGCCACATCAGGATGCTGATCTGACATCATGAGTAGTGCACAGTTGTACCTCAGACTGCCCACAACAAAAGGCCACCCTGGAATGTGCAGTTTTGTCTCACAGCAAAATGCCACAGATGCCACAAGCAATGAGGGAGCGTGCAATTGGCATGCTGACAGCAGGAATGTCAACCAGATCTGTCGCCCGTGCATTGAATGTTCATTTCTCAACCATAAGCCGTCTCCACAGGCGTTTCAGATAAATATGGCAGCACATCCAACCGGCCTCACAACCGCAGACCTCGTGTAACCACACCAGCCCAGGACCTCCACATCCAGCAGGTTCACCTCCAAGATCGTCTGAGACCAGCCACCCAGACAGCTGCTGGAACAATTGGTTTGCACAACCAAACAATTTCTGCACAAACTGTCAGAAACCATCGCAGGGATGCTCAACTGCATGCCCGTCGTCCTCATCGGGGTCTTGACCTGACTCCAGCTCGTCGCCGTAACAGACTTGTGTGGGCAAATGCTCACATTCGATGGCGTCTGGCACGTTGGAGAGGTGTGCGCTTCACGGATGAATCATGGTTCACATTGTTCAGGGCAGATGGCAGCTGAGAATGTCCCAGTTCTTGCATGGCCAGCATACTCACCGGACATGTCACCCATTGAGCATGTTCGGGATGTGCTTGACCGGCGTATACGACAGCGTGTACCAGTTCCCACGAATATCCAACAACCTCGCACAGCCATTGAAGTGGAGTGGACCAACATTCCACAGGCCACAATTGACAATCTGATAGACTCCATGCGACGATGTGTTGCACTGCATGAGGCAAATGGTGGTCACACCAGATACTGACCAGTTCTGGGTCCCCAGACCCCCAATAGCGCAAAAAACTGCACATTCCAGGGTGGCCTTTTGTTGTTGGCAGTCTGAGGTACACCTGTGCACTACTCATGATGTCAGATCAGCATCCTGATGTGGCACACCTGTGAGGTGGGATGGATTATCTCAATATAGCAGATGTGCCCACTACCACACATTTGGACTGATTTGTGACCACTGTTTGGGAGGGATGGTTATATTGTGTATCTGGAATGAATTTTAGGTCTCTACGTCCATCCCATGGGGAATGGGAGCAGTAACAAAGGTGTTGCGTTTATATTTTTGTTGAGTGTATATATATAAAGCTCTGACTTGTATTATGAGCAGAGATGGGCAGTAACGCGTTACTGTAATCCGATTACTTTTAAGTAAGTAATCAGTAATTAGTTACTGATTACTTTTTTCAAGTAACTTGACCAGCTGATTATGAGTATGAGTCTGTGGTCTGGGAGAGAGTCCTGTAACTCTCTGTCTGCAAAATACAGTATATAATGACCAATGTTGGGCAGTTAATTAAATAGTTACTTCTTCAAAAAAAGTTACTGAGTTATGCAAACAACAAAGTTTTTTGCAGCTGTTTACCTAAAAATGCAACCAAGGCATGTTTTAAAATAAACATTTCAAACCATTTACAGAACAATCAGCTGTTCTGCATCAAATCTGATGCCACACAAATTATTTGTGTCACTCCAAAAAATAATTTCTGTCCACTATGAGATAAAGGAGAACAACAGCCTGATACCTGCAGGCCTGACAACAGGAGATGTATCACTCCTGTAACACCTGTAACATTCAGTAGTCGTCTCATTGTTCTGACACACACAACAAAACTATTGACTACACTACACACTAACTACACAAGATTTGCGCTAAACGTCGCAAATCTCTCACATCTTAAAACACCGCCGCCATTCCTAAAACTTGCCCCCTTCCTAAACAACTAAATGCCATGTTGCCATATCATTTTTTGATTATTTTTATCATAACTCTGGTTTTACGTGGCCCATCAACACAATTTAAAAACTGGTATAAAGTTCACACTTTTTCTGTCAGTTGTTCTGTCTGTCCTGCTCACATCTCCAATGGTTGTGCACGTTGTCATTAACGTGGCTTCACTCCACATCAGCCACGCCGCTTTGCTAGCTAAAACACCAGTGTCGGCACATAAGGACGCTGTCATAGCCTGTCAACGACGTTCATTAGCTGCGTATATACGAATGTGAATCGCATTATTGGCTGGCCTATGGGATAAGGTGGCATCGTTCTAATTCCATACGGGAGCAGCCAGTCACTTACTGACTAACACTGCAAAACAGAATTGTTTAAGTTTTAATTGTAATTTCAATTCAGGTTAGATTTTTTTTGTTGCCAACACAGATTTTCTGTGCGCAGAGACCATGCCAGCAAAGCGCAATTGCGCACGCGCGCAGCTTAGAGGGAACATCGATCACAGTCATTCTGATTACCTTTTTGCTTTATTCAAGGAATTACCAAATATGTCTTAGGAGCTTCACTAGCTATGCTCAAACTGCTCTTGTTAAGGTCTCAAACAATCTGCTGCTGACTGTGTGCTCTTCTCTATTTTCATTCTCCCTGACCTCATCTCAGCCTTGCATATTGTGGACCAGAACATTTAATTCAGTCAGTCTAAAGAACAGTGCTGGTATCAGTGATGTGATGCTGGATTGGTTTATGTCAGGTCTATCAAACAAGTAATTTTCAGTAATGACTGACAAAGCCTCATCTTCTCATTCAAATGGATGGAGTTGATTTTCACTGCTATGCAGGCACAAATGTCCTATAATCTGTTACCGCTGATATCTCACATATTAGGTCCCGTCTAGCTGAATTAGGAACTGGATGTCTAAAAACATTCTAAACCTGAATGATCATAAAATTGAAGTAATTATAATTACACCCTCGTCCCCCAGCACTAGTAGCACTTTTGATCTTTTTTCTAATCTGGGTCTCCTACAGTATTTAAAAATGTCTGGAGAGAGACTCATAACCTGGGGTAATTTTGGGTCCAAGCTCTCTCTTTTATATGCAGGTGTTTAAAGTTATGCAGTCCTGTTTCATTCCGCTTAGGCAGATATCATTCCTATCTCATTTTGGTTAAGGTCATCCATGCTTTTATGTCCTCTGGACTTGACCACTGTAATGCACTTTATTCATCGTCATAACATAAATAAGATACAAATAATTCAAACTGCAGCTGACAGGCTTTTAACAGATAGCAAAATAAGTGACCAGATGAAATCAGTCTTTACAGCTCTTCACTTCCTACCTGTTAGCCTTAGAAATGATTTTACGGCTCATTTTTGAAGCCTAACTTTGTTAAGCACCTGTCTGCATATCTAAGCTGCTGTATCCATATGAAACTTCCTGCTGCCTGAAATATTCAGACATGCCTGATGCCTCTGCCTAATGACCTCAGGCTTCTTCTAAATGCATTTTTACTTTTTGGCTTTTTAAACCCACTAATGTCTTACTGACCAAAGCAACTTCTTTAATGAGCAAGATTGCATGAGTACTGGTTTCTCTTCAATTTGAAATTGCTTTTGTTTCTACTGAAATTATTTATTTTTAGTTGTTTGTGTAGTTCAGTACAACTTTATTTTGAAAAGGCCTTTATGAATACATATAAACTAAAATGTAAAATGTACTAGATGTACTCACATGCACTTCTTGCTTTCAGAATAGCCCAGCTGTATATCACTGCCTTCCTGCCTGCTGTGCCAGTGAGTCGCTGCTTTTCTCCTTAACCTTTATACAAACATTCAAAACCAATGTTTGACGTTTTTTGTGCTGTGCAATAATTTATTATTCTTCCATAGGCAATGTTTCTACATCATCTTCAGGTGTCTTACCTGCAGAACCAGGTCCATTTCTCTATTCCGATCCCGTACTGGTTTTACAGATATCGTAAATGTTTCTAAAACTAATTACAATTTTGGTGGAAAAGGAAATGTAATCACGCTGACTACATTTTGTATTCTCAGGGAATCATACTGCCACAAATGTATAGTGCTGCTCTGGCAAACATTGCAAATGTGGTGACAAACTATATTTTTATTCACTGGCTGGATCTGGGTGTTAGGTATGCGAACTCACACTCATATCACTTTAATGCTTTAATTCTGAATAAAAGAATTTAACACTGATATCAACCCAAATGTCTTGCAGTGGCTCTGCAGCTGCAAATACTCTGTCTCAGATTTACATCTGTACTTTTCTGTTTGCTTACATTTTGTGGAAGAGGCTTCATGTAACAACATGGGGAGGTATACTGAGAACAGTGATGATCTCATGCACCATCTTCTTCTTTTCCCTAGTTTTATATAAATGAGCGTCTCTCTCCCCCTGCAGGCTGGTCTGTGGAATCACTGCAGGACTGGGGCTCCTACATGAAGCTGGCTATTCCCAGTACATTAATGAAATGCTTTGAGTGGTGGGTTTATGAGTTTGGGGGATTCTTTGCAGGTAATCCTTTTTTTTTCCTTTTAGATGATCATAGACAATCTAAAAATATTTGAATCATGCCTGCTCTTTCTTCTTTGTCTGTAACAATCAGGAATGCTGAGTGAAAATGAGCTGGCAGCCCAGCACGCTGTCATGATGGTGACTGTCATAACATATATGGTAAGGTTTAATCACTACAAATCAGAGAATTAAATTCTCCCTTTAAAATATTTCTTTGGTTGCTTTGAACCACCTGAGAGCAAATTTTCTCCTATACTTTTTTCATAATAATGAATCCATAGTTCCCTCTTGGTATTCAAGCTGCGGCATGTGCCCGGGTGGGTAATGCTCTTGGTGCAGGAGACACCGGCAGAGCACTCCTAACTAGCAAGATGTCCCTTACTCTTGCAGGTCAGTTAGAAATGTATCGTGATGTATATATTCGTTTCCCATAACTTTATTACCGTTATACAGATTTTGGAGCTCTTGTTTTCTAGGTAGCATTGCAGTTGTAGAAGGCCTTGTCCTTGGCTCCGTCAAAACAGTGATTGGCTTCATCTTCACGTCAGATGAGTGAGTTCAGCTGCATTCACATTTCACTAACAGTAATATTCCTAAACACTGTTGTTGCATTCAAAGATTGGCAAGGATGTGCAAAACCTTAATTAAACCTTTTCTTTCAGGAAGATCATAGGTCTGGTCTCACAGCTGATGAATGCTTACTGTTTCCTTCAGTTCTTTGATGGTCTCGTGGTGAGTTTTAGTTACACTTGGCAGCGCGTGTATGCTCCTAAAAGCATGACAAGTAAATCTAATATAAAGTTTATCTCTGTTTCATCCAAGTGTGTGTGCACGGGCATTTTCTTAGGCACAGGGAAACAGAAGATTCCAGCTGTGGCTAATTTCATTGGATACTACTGCATAGGGCTTTCTCTAAGTATCACGTTGACATTCGTTGCAAAACTAAGAGTGTTGGGTAATTGCACAAAGTGATGCTTTTTTTGTAATTTACTAAAATGAGCTTTTAAAGTGAAGCTTGCCTTGCACTTAAGTAATTTGTCATTTTCTCTGCAGGTTTCTGGCTTGGACTGCTTGTTTGTGTCATTTTACAATCTACCTTCTACATTATTGTCATCTTTAAGCTGAACTGGGAACAAATCACTGAGGAGGTATCATATGAAAACAACCAATAAAGATACTGTGCCTCAAATTGAAGATCAGTTTATACTTAGCTTCCAAGACCCAAAAAATATTAATGAATCTATTGCTTACACTGACTTTTCATATTTATAGGCTGTGAAACGGGCTCAGAAAAATCCTTCGTTATTAGGAAGAGCTCCCGTGACAGGCACTGTGGAAACCAGCACCCAAGATCAAACATCAAGTAATGTGAGTCTATGTAACAGTTACAGTCAGCAATAGCAACAATTAATCTAAATTTCTTGACATAGTTTTGTTTTTCTTAAACCGTTCTTGATTACATTTATATTATGTTTTCTTCCATTACTGACATATATATATAGTACTGTGCAAAAGTCCTGAGCCACCCTTTGCTCTTTTGACATGACTTGCTTTTCTACTCATTTCAGTCCTTGTACATGGCCATTTTCAGAGGAATGATTTCCTTGTATTTGCTAAGTCACTTTGCACTTACCTATGAATCATGGAAGCTTTAAAAGGAAACTTTTTTTAGTCTTGTGTCAACATAACAGCTAAATTAGCAAAGAATGGATTTTAAATTGTATCTGTACCCATTTTCCCAGCAAAATATTTTTAAAAAGTGGAGAAATTAGATTTTCGCAGAGTACTATATACTATTGCAGTGGTGGATGCTCATATTCAACATGGCCAGATTTTCAAAGAGTTAGTAACCCCTATGTGCTAAAAGCTCAGTTTTCAAACTTCTATATGCTGGATTGATTGCAGATGTTTTTTTTTCCCTTTTCTTTGCTCTGCATGATTGCAGTGAGCACAGCACGTCCTTCATACAGATACTTCATGCACACAGGTTATGACCACAGCAGTGTGACCAACCTGCTGGTGTTTTTGTTTCATTTTTCCTAGCTGATGGATGGCTATATGTCTGTGAGCACTGAGTGCCAAGACAGGGGCACTGTGGTGCAGGATCGAGATGTGACACAGAAGCTGAAGGGCAGCCGCCTCTCCATCACCCAACTGATCCTCAGGCGAGGCCTCATTATGTTTGCTGCAGTTGCACTTCTTGCTGTGGGAGCAGGTGTTCACTTCCTTGTGCCTTTGCCCGAGACCAACTCTACTGTGGACTCGATCAACACTACATATACTCCTGATCAAATTTTCTCCACCATGTTGGTGCCAGATGAAGAGTCAGAGTGAACAATAGATAACTGCAATGATTCTGTTTAATGTTGTAAGAACAGAAAATCTGATGTTGCCTTCTCAAACCAGTTTTAGTTTGATTTGTTTGTCTCTGCAAGGTGTTGTAGACTGAACACAGGCAAATATAATGCTCGTTCATTGATTAATCAAGAGACCATTCATTCATTTCCTGCTCGTCTGCCTTTGTGCCTGCTTGTGCCATCCGTTACTGTCTGCTTTGTAATGCAAATGCTAGCATATTGCTGAGACCTCCCAGAAAAGCAGCACTGGAGTTATTTCCCTGAACGAGACAGACATTACTCATGTTCAGGTAGCCAAGTTGGTGATAAGTAGGTTCAAAATAATACCAACAGCCAAGATGAACAACATGAAAGCTAGAGCCAAGCCTCTACGCAGAACCAGAGTCCTGAAAGAGAGCTCTCCTTCAGCTGTCCTCACTGTTGTTTCCACCTGAACATCCATCAGATCAATGGTGTCTGCTTGACCCACTGAGTTACCAGAGTCTTCTAGTTGGGTACCTGGACATAAATATATGCAAATGTTCCATGTTAGGGATCATGAAATTATAATTGTTATTCAAAATATTGTTCACAGTTTGGAAGTTTTCTATATTAATTGCTGTATAATCAATATCTAAAATCTCTGAATTGTTTTTTGTTAGTTAGTTTTTTTTATGGTTCTATCTGCTGATCCAACTGAGTGCTTTTTTAGTGTTGCCATAGATTGTGAAGTTAAAGATGTTAAAGGACATTTAAAAAAGATGAAGATCTTGGTTTCTGATTGTTTAGCAAATACCAATTTGCAGACAAAAATTTGGACTTTGAACATTTCATACTTTTAGACCATGCATGATTAAAAAAAAAGTAGTAAGGACACTTACTACATACAAACATATCAAAATGACAACAATAATAAAATAGCTATAAAATATGTTATAGACCTTTAAAAGTGTTAAATGTATTTACTTCTACATGTAGATTGTGCTTTTTTAGTTTACCCTGTCTACAGCAACTAAAGCATGACACTTTTAGGATTATTGTCAAAGATAAATTGTAAGTCACACCACTTGGTGAAGTGAAGGTAGGAAAAGATTTTAGCCTTTGTTTAATATTAAAGAAGTTACTGGTGACATAATGCTGTCCTAACCTTTCCGCACTCAACACATTTTATTGTGGCTTGAATATGACAAAGGTAGTTTGCACTTACATATGGAGACGTTGTTGCAATAATCAAACTAAAAACAACATAATTCATTTCTGGTGGCGCAGGATACATTTGTCGCAGGTTTTGCGACAAATTTGTCCTGCGTCATTTTTGGGTCCACGATGTGGTTATTGAAGATTTGGGGACACAACAGTCTGTAAAATCTTTTTGAATAATGTAGATACATAATTCAAATACACAAACAAGATTCATTAAATATTCTTCTAAAGGTATCTTTTAAACTCTGTATGTTCTACTTCCACACAGAACTGTTTTGTTTCTCGTGATGAACAGGATAAACACTTTTCAGCCAAATTAAATAATTTGTGAAAACTGTCCCTTACCTGTGTCTGTGGAGCTTACATGCACTCCTGCTCTGATCTGAGCCTGCAAGACGAATCAATGCGTGATCCTTTAATCATAAAGAGACAGCCGAAAACTACTGAAAATTAAATATTTATCCTTAAACACAAACCTCAACTGTGACATTTTTCCAGTTCATTCTGATTAGATAGAAAATCAGGAATAAGCATTGCAGGAACACACAGGTTAACAAGCCTGTCCACAGACCTGAGGAAAACAAAACATGTTTTTCTTTAAGAGGAGGAAGGAGATGTTGATGCTGTGGTAGAAATCAAATGAAAAAAAGAACTGTAGGGACAAAAATAACATGGATACAAACAGCTGATGGTTGAAAACATCTCACCCATGATTCCTAATTTGGCTGCAAACATCAGTGACACTCCAATCGGAAAGCCAACACCATAATATCCCAAAATATTGCAAATAGCTCCAACTCTCTGTTTGCCTGCTCCTCTTATTATGCCACACACGGCAGCCTAGTGACGCAAAAAGGATAAAGACATGGTTAAGTACCCACAAACACATACTTTATGGGATGTTTCTGGGGTATGGCAGATACTCACAGATGTTGCATCGAGTAGAATGAAAGGAGCATAAAAAGATAGGACATCTGAAACCCTTTGCCTGATTTGTCTGAAAGAAGAGAGTCTAAATTTTTAAAGTGAGACTGGTGAGTTTGTAAACACATGTTTTTGTGTAATTTGAGCCTTGTGCAACATTATACAATTATGCTGTCTTAGGAACAGGAAATATGTAAATAATTATCAGCACAGCTGAGTGCAGCTACCATAAACCTTTGTGTCTATTCAGTATAAGAGAGATTATGTAAGCGAAGGATGACAGTAACTTATGTAAGGGTAAAAGGTCGTTTATGAGGCCTGCTATCTCCCCTAGACTTGATACTGAAATTGCATGTGTAAGTGTAACCCATGCTGGTATTTCCTTCCTTTTTTCTTTTAAAGTAACAACTGCTGCGATTTATAAAACAAACAAAAAAACCATAAAATTATATACGCACTCATCATATGTAAAAACATAAGAGATGTGGTCCTTTAGGCTCCCGATGAGAGTTGACAAACATATAGACACTGACACTGCAGTAAAGACAGAAATATAATTAAAGATTTACCTTTTTCGGGAGCAACATGCCTTAACAGTCTTTTTCCTTATAGGATCGAAACCCTTTCTCGAGGGCACATCATAGGTAGGTAAAGAGAAGTGAAAATATTCACGCTTTCTGCTAACATTCATAATTACAGAGACTGTTTAAAATTTCTAAGCTACTTTTGTGCTTCCTTCTGGAGAGCAAAATTGGAATTATGCAACATTAAATTATGTAATTAATTACCTTTAATTGACTGTCTTTAAAATATTTTCAAATGAATATTAGACAAAAAACTAACAAAAACAAAAACAAAACACACGGCAAAGAAATAAACATTGATGCATTCTGACCTGCACAGAACATTGACATCTTAGCAGACAGCTTGGCCTGCTCCGTTTCTCCACCTCCCAAAGCATTTCCAACTCTTACACTGCCCGCTATGCTGAAACCCAAAGGGAACTAAAAATAAAAAAGTTGTTACATTGGATGGATGTAAAATGAGAAAATTCTTTATGAATAAAGTTTTTTGGCAGTGCAGAGGGTTTGTTCACATCAAAAGGGCTCACCATGTATGCAACATTTGCCAGTTGATACACAACTGACTGAGCTCCGAGTTCCACTTCATTTATGAGACCTGTCAATGACAGACAGCGGATAGATTTCAGAGCTGCTTTTCTACAGTCAAAGGCATCCCAAAGTGGCCTGTGGCATTACCTGCTAGAAAGCCTCCAATCTCATATGTCCACCATTCAACACATAGCATGACCATGCCAGGGACAGCCAGGTGGATGTATGAGCCCCAGTCCTGGAGGCACTCTCGAGACCAACCTACGTAAGTGTTTATAAAGTAGATGTTAGCAATTCCAAATGTATATTTAAATTAAAGTGCATACAAAAGCAAAAGAAATAAAATACTTTAAAAATTCTCTCAAAACAAATAGTAGTCATATAATAAACCAATAAATCATTTGTCAACCTGCTTTTCTACCACATGATTCAAAGCAAATCTCAATACGCTAATTTCCAGTTCTATAGTGTGAGATTATAATATTATTTTATGCCATGTTAGACCCCTAATTAAAGATTGTGAATTATTATGTAGTTTTAGTTTGCATTATTCTCCTGAATTAGAAGAAGGTGATAACTATTGCATTTGTTAAACTGATTTGCATTACATTAGACTGCTGATTAATTGTGAATGACTGATATTGTTTTATGATGCATTATACTGCTGAGTTATAAGAAATACTGTTCGCAGAAAGTCATCGCCTTATTTGTCTGATTAGAAGAGAACAGAACATACTGGAGTTTTCTGCCCCATCTCAGCAGGAGCAGATAAACAGGGAGCCAAGGTCGTAGCTTAGGCGCTGTGTGAGAGAAAGAATGTGAATGTTTAGGCTTTTATGATTAGGTGGGGGCCACTAGAGGCTATAAGAGGTTGATCAATGCTCCACCATTTTAAGATCTGATGCTGTCTGTTGGCGAACAGGGTTAGTTCAGTTTGGCTTGACTGTGGGGTACAGGGCATCCTGGAATAAGCAAGGAGTTAGAGTCTCCTTACTGTGTTGAATGGTATCTGCGCTTTTTTGGACACTATTAAATTGAGTTAGGGATTTTAGAGATGAGGCCAGATACAGTTAGAGTCTGATACTGGTTAATTGATTACAAAAAAGTTGGACTTTCTTAACTTAAATTTGTCAAAATTGTGTAGGTGCTAAAGCTGTCAGGCCTGAGAGTGATTGTAAATATAAGACGTCTTTGTAATATAAAATAACAGAGCTGTGTGAAATGAGGCTGTGTGTGACGTGCAGCTGCGGCGCTGCGAGCTATTTTTAGACTGTGTGTGAACATGCAAATGAGGTGGCTGCTGTGAAGCGCACAGAGGACTTTTGCTTCCTGTTTAGCGTGTTATTGAGTTTTATAATTATGATTTGCAAACAATGATACATGCCTGTAATTGAAACGCTGATTTTGCTGATTATAATATTACAAATAAGGTTTTGAATGACTAGGGTGAATGTTTGATGTTTGGCTGGGTTTTGATATAGAAAAGACAAATCGTGCATGATTTAGACCGGCACTTCAGTCGGCAGAGTAAGATTGTGTGATAAATACAGCTGTGATTTGTTTCAGTTTTATGGTGTGAAGCAGGATTTATAAGATTTTTAAGTGACTCTTGGTTCAGCTCAAGAGTATAGGCAGTTACATTTGTTTTACTTTTAGTTTTATCATAATATAGGGTGTGATCAAGCACGAATTTTAGCACTAGAGGTGGTGTAGTAATTTCATTCTACTTAGATAAAAGGCATGCTTATTTTGGGGTCGTGCCAAATTAAAATTTTACATAT